TGGGGGAGGGGAGACTGAGGAAATGCTTCCTCCTGCCTGCAGCAGACCGATCACTGGGGGAGGGGAGACTGAGGAAACGCTTCCTCCTGCCTGCAGCAGACCGATCACTATGGGGGAGAGGAGACTGAGGAAACGCTTCCTCCTGCCTGCAGCAGACTGATCACTGGGGGAGGGGGGACTGAGGAAATGATACAGAGCTCAGGCAGTTGACAAGCAGTAATGATCAGGCCTCTGGGGGGTCAGAATGTTCTCCTCAGTCCTCTCCACAACAATAATGGCGATATATCAGCTTTGGGTGGACTTGGCGGGACCGGGATAGGACTCTGGATGGGACGCGGGGAACAGTCTAGGGAAAGCTCGGCCGCTATACAGAGGTGAGGGAACACCGCTCCAGTATACGGATCTCCATAACCGCCCTTACCTGCACTCCAGAGATCGCTGCTCGGCTTCTATGTAGGACATCAGCGTCAGTGCCAACTGCTCCTGGATCCTATCAATGGTCTCATGGTCGGTGACGCCGGGGCGATCTGCAACACACAAATTGGAAGGGCCGCTGTAGGACCGACGTCACATGGGACAATGAGCCGATAGTGACAGGAGGGTTGTTCCAATGTGTAGGGGGAGCACTGATATCAGGACAGTGAGGGTGCCAGAAGAGGGGCACAGGCATTGTGGGCACGGATGGTCAGTGGTATATAACACACGACACAATAAACAAACTATATAAAAAGGTGAGAAGAGGAAATGGAAGCCGGGAGTCTGGCTCTGCCCATACCGGAGGAGAACAGACAGATGGCCTGCATCAGCGCATATTCCTCCATCTGCAGATTGAGCTTCTTCAGCATAGAGTGAAATCTAAGCAGCGGCTCCAGGAAGAATTGGCGGAATCCAGCTGGAGGGAGATACGTAGATGACGGATTTTAATGGAGATTTAAAAAGTGGCAACAGCACCAAGAATTAATCATGTACACCATTTGTATCTATGAACGGAGATCAGAGATGGGCCCCCGGGGCCCCCATATATCTAATTTTGCTACCACAAAATGTATCGTTTGGCTCGTCTGTGACCAACACTCACCCAGCGCCATGTCCCGGAGGTTGTACGTAATCTTCCCGCACTCCCAAATACACAACTTTGTGTTAAATACGGTGTTAAATCGGATGACACAAATCTCGAGAGAACTACCCTTCAGGAGAGCAATCTGGTCATCAATGGTCAGAGTCCTAAAAACAGAGACAACGTCATGAAATCTGACACTTCAAAGGTTGGTCAGTCTGCAGAACAGACCCCAACATCTCCCCTACCCCATCAATGTTACTTTGTATCTCTCTATCTCCCTCTGATCAATGTGTATAAACAATGTTACTTTGTATCTCTCCATCTCCCTCTGATCAATGTGTATAAACAATGTTACTTTGTATCTCTCTATCTCCCCTCTGATCAATGTTTATAAACAATGTTACTTTGTGTCTCTCTCTCTCCCTCTGATCAATGTTTATATACAATGTTACTTTGTATCTCTCTATCTCCCTCTGATCAATGTTTATAAACAATGTTACTTTGTATCTCTCTATCTCCCCTCTGATCAATGTTTATAAACAATGTTACTTTGTGTCTCTCTCTCTCCCTCTGAGCAATGTTTATAAACAATGTTACTTTGTATCTCTCTCTCTCCCTCTGATCAATGTTTATATACAATGTTACTTTGTATCTCTCTATCTCCCTCTGATCAATGTTTATAAACAATGTTACTTTGTATCCATGAACAGTATATGTGAAGTTTGTATGGTAGTCTCCAGGCTGACTGCTTCTGCCCTGTAAGATGCAGAACGTTACAATCTGCCCGCTCCAGCGAATGCACAGCAGCATGAAATAACGGAGCCCTGAATGAATAAATGATGACAACTACAAGGCTTTGTTGTCTGATCCACACTCTGGAGCTGGGAGACAGTATGTAAGGTCAGGCAGTCATGAATCAGGCAGCTGAGAAAGCAACAACCGTCAGACTTCAGGTGACTTATGACCCCAACTCTTCAGCTCCAAAGCAATAAAATTGAAATTATTGAGTAACTATAGATGGTCATAAAACTCTACAGATCCAAGGCGGGAAATTCAGATACTGACATTATAGTGACCGGTTCTCTTTAACCACACCCAGTAATGTGTTATTGCTGCTAAAGCTGCT